GAAGTAGTTCATGACTCCTACTTCGTAGTCTGTCTTCGTCTGGAAGCTCATCTGAAACCTGTCCACCATGGGTGACCCTGCTGGTTATTTGAAATACCGGTGGCATAACTTTCAGAATCACAGCAACTCACAAGCCACCACAGTACGACAAACTGACAGACAAGTAGTGGTTCCGACTCATAGTGACCGTGAATAGGGTTTCTGAGGAGTGCCTTGTAAGTCTGAACTGCCAACTTTGCAGTCCAATGCTTATCCTACAGTGCCACACCAGGACAGAAAACCCTATGGAAAGCCCAGTTCAACTCTGACCCACTTGGAAGACAACTCAACTGCTAACTGAAAGCTTGGAGGTTCGAATCCACCCAGAGGTGCCTAGGAAGAAAAGACTGGTGATCTACTTTTGAATACATCTATTGTGAACCCAATACAGCACAGGTCTCCTCTGACACACACGGGGTCAACTCAACAGCAATGGTCCTGGCCCCTCACTATCTGAGACTCACATCTTTTAAAACCACTCTGTGATTGCCCACTGAAACCACCCTATCTGAGAGAAACAGAGACTCAAATTACCAACTCCCCAGCCACTGGTGATTTCTGTCCTTGCTCATCAGCTGTAGCTAGAATGAAAGGAACAGTGGCTCCTGCCCTTCAGGAGGTCACATCCAGCTAGGAAGATGGACATGACCCTTCTAAATGGGCATAGTAAATACTGCAGGCCCGGCTACAAAAAACACACGAGAGCCTGCAGGGCAGTGCAGGGTTCCTTGCTGGTGCCTGCTAAAAATATTTTCTCCCTGAAAGTGTTCTCTTGTTGTTGTTGTTGTTGTTAAGTACAGTGTAGTTGGTTCCGACTCATAATGACCCTGCACAGGGTTTCTGAGGCTGTAAATCATTACGGGAGCATAAAGCCTTATCTTTTTCCTATGGAATGGCTAGTAGTTTTGAACTGCTGACCTTGAAGTTAGCAGCCCGACTCGGAACCACTATGCTACCAGAACTCCTTGAAAGTGTTATGTAGAGTCCCTGAATTAAAACGAGACCTCCCAGTCCACCAAGGGAGTTTTCGTCTCAATCGTCTGGGCCACAGATGTGCCTGGAGTTGCTCCAGGGCACCCCCACTTTAGCTGGTATGCGCTCCTCTGAAATAAGTACCCATCATGCCTCAGAAGGGAAGGAGGAGGAATCAGACCTTGATTCTGGAGTGAACCATGGGAGGAAGAAGAAAACAACAACAACAACAAAAAGATACAGACACTGTAAACCAAAGTACATAAAACTTTTAATGAATTAACTTTACAAAAGACAATGGCATCAAAACATCAGACATGTCTGGTACGAAACTGCTCCTATGCGGCGAGGACACATGGTAGTGATGATGACAACGTGCCGCTGGCATGACACACGACGGAGCAGGGTGACAGGAACCACATGAGGGGGCGCAGCACACTCCAAATGGGGGACGGAATCAACTGAGTCACAAATACTGTGGGCTGAATATCAGACTAGCAGATGCGGTTGGTGAACTCCCATAATTCCCAGAAAACAACATGCACCAGAGAGAATATACACCCCTCGTTTTATTGCCTTGTGAATGTGTGTTTGTTTCACCTCTACCGTCTTCCTTCAGTCTCTGGAAGCGTCTCGTCTTGCTTCCGCTCAGGATGCAGAGAAAAAAGCACAGTGCGAGTGGCAGGCGGTCTGGGCACGCATCAGACACCAAACGGGATGCCACTGGGTCACGGGAACGAGTCTGCAGGGGCCCCTTGGGGCACACAGAGCATGGACATCAAGGACGAGGACCAGGGCTGCAGTCCGGAAAGTCTCCCGCCAGCTCTTCACAATGCCACGTTGCTCTGGGACAGGGACCGGGACATCTCCGAGTTCACGAAGTAAGTCTTCAGTTCACCCTTGCCTTTCACGTTGATGATGCCACGGCAGGAGCAGGCGTACCCGAGAGTCTGGAGGGCGACGCTCGTCTCCTCGGTCACCTGAAATTCATATCACAAAATGCAGTTAGTACATTGACAGTGGGCAGGGGCACTTTGCATGCAGGAGACCGGGGTTCGATTCCTGGCCAGTGCACCTCATGCTGACAGTGTCCTGTGGAGGATTGTGTGAGGCTAGGACGCCGAACGGGTTTGAGGGGCACAGAGAGGTCTAGGGATTGACGTTGGAAAATCAGCCAATGACAACCTGATGGATCACAAAGCTCCAAGCTGCAGTGGGTCACAGGGATGCGCAGCGCTAGACAGTGCTTCACTCTACTGTGTCCCCAACCCCCAACCCAACGGCCCCAACAGCAGCAACAAAGAGAACACGTTCACACTCAAGGGAAGGGAGCTGGCCATCTGAAAAAGGAACTCGAGAGGGGACAGACCATAGGACGTGGGGCGCTGGATGCAGAGCTGCTGCGCGCTCCTCTCCGTGTGGTCAGGGTGCAAGCCTGGAGCTGACCTGGAGCTGAGTCACCCCCGTAGGCCAGGAGCCGTGGTGCTGTCCCAATCATTGGGAATGATGGCCCATCCTTCACCCACAGAAAGCAGAATCCAGCCTGGTCTTCACCATGATTCAGCCCCCTGAAGACTGTGTACGCACAGGTGGGAGGAGCAGAGAAGGCCTTGGGCAGTGGGGGTGGGACTGAGAAGGACAGGAATAACAATCCGGTGGCATGAATGACAAACTCAATGCCCTTCCAGACGGGAACAGACAGGTCTGTAACATGGATCACACCACCTGAGAGGACTGTGCTCCTCACTACAACCAGCCATGTGAGACCCAAAGGGCAGCATATGCCTTAAACAAAGCTCAGGAGGCAGGAAGGGGCAGGGAGGAAGGAGCGATGGAAACGGGGAGCCCGAGGAGGAAGTGGGAAGAGATTTGCAATCAACTTCGCAAAACGAGAGTGTTGGATGGAAAACTAATTTGCTCTTAAACTTTCACCTAAACCAAACTCCAAACAAACACATACAGTTGCCGTTGAAGCAGCTCAGGCTGAACTCAAGTCAGCAGATCTCAAAAGTGGGTTGCCAAGCCTTTCTTCTGCAGCACCATTAGCACCACCCAGGGGCACCTTCTCGTTCCTGGGATTGAGTTCAGGCCACACTTTCCCCTGGACACTGGAGGTACCCATGGACACTGGAGGCCAGGGCGAGCACATTCACCCTGCCATCCCCCAGCCTCCCTCCAATACTGTAAGGGAGAGTTCCAGGAGACAAGGGGTCAGGTGCTCAAAGCTCACACCCTGCATTCCCCTGAGGGACGATCACGGCTCTGGCCAGAGGTTCTACTCCGTACACGTGTGACCCCATGATGCTCTGTTGGAATGATATTCGTGCCGCACAGAGTTGTCATGGCTGCTGAACAGCACAGTGGTACTTAGGAAGTCCCCAGTGATGTTTCAATACCAAACCATGGAGCTGGTCCCTGGCCGCCTGGAGGAGGTGGCTGTCTGTCTTTACGGCCTCATAGCTGGATCGCAGGCTGGGAGCCTGAGGCCCTAGTAAAAAGCACAGAGGCCTTGTCCGGTCGGTCTCTGTCCTCCTTCCATCTCCGGAACCTTCTAGCTCTGTGCTCTGTTCACACTCACTATTTCATCTCCGACAGCCTGTCTCTGTCCCTCCCCGGGGTCACCTGGAGCGTCTCCTCATACTACCCCTGAGCTAAATTTCACGGTTGACTTGTGGGAGATTTACGGTCTCTGGAAGAGAGGGCGCCCTGACCAGCTGCCCTCAGATCCAGTCCACTTTGCCCTAGGGCTTTGGAAACAAACTGGTGTGAAGCAGTGAAAACCTCTATTGTGTAAGGTCAGGGCTCGGGGAGGGGGTACGGGATGGGATGTGTGCTCTATATGGTTTTCTGCCCCCTGCCCCCTCAGCCACCAGGGGCTATTTGTCCAGGATTGTTGGAGTGACCCTAGGCACTGAGGTCACACAGAGAGCCTCAAGTCTGGGCGCTCTGGGCACACTGGGCCGGATGGCTAAGGATGCGGAGCCCTGCGCTCTAACCCCCACAGAGAACAGTGGACAGCATCCTCTGAGCCGGATCTCATTTTCCTCTGGGCAATGCCTGACCCTCACAGGCTCCTGAGGATGTGTATTCTGTGTAAGGTTAGAGTTGGACACACACAGAATGCTGGTGTCCTGCTGGAACCAGGAGGGAATAAGACAGTCCGCGTTTCTCGAGTCTCTCCGCCTTCTACCAGACTCGCCAACATTCCTTCTACCCCAGAGATCTGACTAAATACCACGTAGACGGCCCATCCATCATTCATCTGTCACTTGGTTGTACTGTGTTGGCTTGTGTGTGGCTGTGCTGTTGGAAGCTATGCCATGGGGGTTTTAAATACCAGCAGGGTCACCCAGATGAGGACAGACTAGGAAGGAGAGATGGACTGCTTCCAAATATTTAGTTGCTGAAAACTTTATGAACACTGTCAGCGCCCGAAAATGGAATAGTGAAACATGATGAAGAACACTGAAATATTGTCAGATACAGGGCCAGAAGATGAACCCCTCAGACTGGAAGGCACTCAAAATGCAACTGGGGAAGAGCTGCCTCCTCAAAAGAGAGTTGACCGTGATGACGCGAATGGAGTAAAGCCCATGGGATCTTTATTTGCTGATGGGGCACAACTCAAAATGAAGTGAAATAGCTGTAAACATCCATTAATAATCAAAACATGGATGTACAAAGTATGAATCTAGGAAAATTGGAAATTGTAAAACATGAGATGGGACACATAAGCACTGAAATTGTAGGCATTCGTGAGCTGAAATGGACCGGTATTGGACATTCTGAATCTGACAATCACAGTTTACTATACTAGGAATGACAAATTGAAAATCTGTCTTGCAGTACAACGCTGTCTGTGATAGGGTAATATCCATGCGCCTACGGGGAAGACCAGTTAATACCACTATTATTAAAATTTATGCACCAACCACTAAAGCCAGAATTAGAAGAATTCTACCAACTTCTTCAGTGTGAAATCAATCAAACATGCAATCAAGATGTATTGATAATAACGGGATTGGAATGCAAAGAAGGATTCATAGTTGGAAGCTAAAACATTAGGGATAGAAATGATGCTGGAGATCACATGATAGAATTTTGCAAGACCAATGATATCTTAATCGTAAATGCCTTTTGTAAAAAAACCATATAAGGCACAAGATACATGGACCTCACTAGTTGTAATGCACAGACACGGAATTGACCACATCTGTGGAAAGAGACGATGGAAAAACTCCGTATCAGTCAAAACAAGAGCAGGGGCAGACTGTGGAACAGGCCATCAATTACTCATATGCAAATTCAAACTGAAGCTGAAGAAAATGAAAACAAGTCCACGAGAGCTAAAATAGGACCTTGAATATATCCCACCTGAATTTAGAGATCATCTGAAGAACAGATTTGATGCATTAGATACTAAAGACTGAAGACCAGAAGAGTTGTGGGATGACATCAAGAACATCATACATGAAGAAAGCAAAAAGTCATTAAGAAGACAAGAAAGAAGGAAAAGACCAAAATGGATGTCAGAAGAGACACTGAAAGTTGCTCTCCAGCATAGAGATGCTAAAGTAAATGGAAGAAGTGAGGAGGTCCAAGAGCTGAACAGAATGTTTCAAAGGTCAGTTCAAGAAGACAAACTCAAATATGATAACAAAATGCGCAAACACCTGGAGTTAGAAAACTAAAGGGAAGAACATGCTCAGCATTGCTCAAGTTGGGGTCACTGAAAAAAAAATCCAAGCCTCGACTTTGGTTATTAAAGGATTCTCTGGGTAAATTCTTAAATGATTCAGAAAGCATCAAGAGAAGATGGAAGGAATACACAGAGTCACTGTAACAGAGACAGAGAATGTCCAGAGGTTCAAGCCGGATTCAGAAGAGAATGTGGAACAAGGGATATCACTGCTCATGTCCAAAGGATCTTGGCT